TCCAGAATGGTGCGGACTTCACGCTCAACAACCGCTTTGGTGGAATGTTGATATTCAACAGAAGTCTGGTGTTTGAAACCAAGTTCTTCTATGGCATCCAGCATTTCTGGAGCATTGTCGGTGTACACTATACCAACAATATCAGAAGTCTTCAGAAAATGTTTGAAAGCCTTAACAATAGAATCGGCAGTCTTGTTTTCAGAAGGGTAAACACATCTGTATTGAGTATAAATATCTTTGATCACCAACATTGACGTTTGGCCTTCTATGCCTTCTTCAATATCTTTGGGAATAACATGGTCGCACACTATGTGGTCGCCAAACCCACGCGCCAAAACATGTTGTGATCCGCCTACGCTTCTACCGTAGGGAGCAAGCATTTTAGCTTCGCTACAAACATCGCAGTAGGGATTCTTTGGTCGGTGTGTGAATTGATGCGCCCCTGATTTTGCTTCCTTTCGAAGTTGCTCTTCGGTCTTCTCCCCTGCTACGGGAACGTCTTCAAAATCAAAAGGAACCTCAACTTCTGGGTCACTGTCCTCTTCGTCCTCCTGTCCATCATCGGCATTGGCATCTACGCCAGCTTCGTCAGCCTCCTCTTGGTCTTCCTCGGGTTCAGACTCATGGCTGGCCATGGCGTAGCCCTGGTCGATGGTGAACTGGTGGATGGAATCGAGTACCTTAGTAAGGCGAGTCCTCAGTGATTCAGGAATTGAGAATGGGGTACATGTTTCATCAATATATGGAACCCTACCTTGCAATTTGAATTTAATGCATTGTCCATCAGGTCGAAGAAATATGGGAGTAGTGTCCTTTCCCCAAACAAAATCATATCCCTGTTCTAAGCACCTCAAACCAATTGAAAGTGCAGAGGGAGTACTTTGGAGAATGTAGGGGTTGAAGGATTCACATAACCCTGGCAAGATCACCTCTACTACTTCGTCAGCAGTGATAGGTCCATTGGCAGTAGTGAGGGAGATTGGTTCGTTGGATTTGAAGATCTTGGTGGCCCTGTTGACTGTCTTAGAGTCCTTGCCTACGATGTCCTGGTCAGTGCCAGTGTCACCGAGCCACTTCTCCATACCAACCATATTTGGCATCGCTGTTAAGCGAGCGCATGACGGCACCTGTTCTCCGACAACCGTTCTGCACTTTGTGCAGCACAAATCATCGGGGCCTTCTGGGGAATGCTCACAAAGGAAATCACACGCAGGCTCCTCGGTATCCATCGAAACGAGCATCTGCCTAAGTGACTCCGCTGCCAAAATGGCGTCCTTAGTGTCACACTCGCGGGACTTTGGGCATTCCTCAGTGGTCCGGAACAGGTTCCGCTTCTTGCTCTTATTCACTACATGCCGGTACATTTCCTTCCAAACAGGAAAGGTGTGTACCTCCGGTTCTAATTCAAAACGAATTCTCTTCTCTTGCACAACACGGAAAATTGACTTTCCAGTCCAATCAAATTTCTGTTTCGCGTTTGGGTGTTTCTTCCAATTACCCTTGATTGTCCTACTCTTTCCCTTTGAGTCAGTGACTACCATGGTAAACTGGTCTTCCAACCTAGATGACTCAACTGGACAGGATTTACGTGTTGGGAGAAACGACCTGTGCCTAGGCTTCAAATGGTGCCTAATCAACTCATTGCCATCTTTGGAGAATTCCCAGTAGTCTTTACTCTTTTGGGTCCGAGTTGCGGTTACTGCTAAGCAAGACATTGCGAAACCTGTTTGAATACATGGACTGGCCTTTGGACTTTTGTCCTTCTTTTCCCGTTTGCTCTTTTTGTCCTTTTTGTCCTTCTTGGATTTCTTGTCCTTAGACCTTTTAGCTGCGGGCGAGGGACTCCTTCTGCGCGGGGCTGGTGTTGCAGTGTCTCCGTGTTTAAACGGGCATTTGTCACCCCTTTTGCAGTTACCCTTTGCAAAGAACCTGCATGGCTTGTCAGATTTCCTCCCTCTACTTGAGCTTCTTGATGAGTTCCTTGAACTGGAGCGGGAAGTGTGTCTTGACGAACTTCGAGATCGGCTTGACCTGAACGATGAACGGCTGCTCGGACTTGCGCTACGCGAACGAGACGACTCCCGACTAAGGGAGCGGGGACGGGCGCTAGAGTCGTGTGAGTACTTGCATTTGCTCCCGTACTTACACTTACCAGTTTTGGCATACTCATAGCATTGATTGCTTCCGTCACCCTTTGTGCTTCGTTTGCCATAACTTGGGCTTCGCGTGCGCTTGTCGTGCGGTGCCGGGTTTGCGAACTTTGCCGCGTGTGATTGTGATATCTTTTCGCGATTGGTCCTGAGCCTTTCCCTGTCAAGGTAACGTCGAACAGAATTGATAAGAAATTCATAGCTTCTGTCGTTACTTCCCTCCGGCGCTCGTTCATAAACATCAAGGTCAAATCTGAGCTTGCGGGACTTCCTAACCTCTCTATAAAACAGATCCTTGAGAGTTGCCGGGTCTGGGACATGACTCATTCCGGTCAGAACACTCTCCCATTTTCTTAGAAAGGATTTCAAGTCGTCGCTATCAAGCGAGATCTTGAGGAGGTCCTCAGTGCCATACAGTGCACCCGCTTCTTCACTGGTCTTGAAGTGGACTTCAAACATGAGCAACACCTGACGACCACGGACGATCCTACCTTGCTGTGCCTCAGATTCCTTATAATTAAGGATCTGCTGAGACAGTTCACCTTTGGCAACCTTAGTTAAAGCAGCAAGTAGTTTCGTGTCTAAGGTCCGAAACTTGCCTGGGTCAGCCAATTCGGAACAAAGCTTGGCTTTGTCTTCACGAACGGCGTACACCTCAAGCACCCATGCGAACGCAGCGTCTGGGTCATCGGACGCGGACCGTATCGCTTCGCGAACCGCGGCCCTCCAAGTGCGGTACCTGTCAGGACTTGGGAATTCAGGGAGATCTATCTTGTCAGCCTCCTTTGCCTTGGGCTTATCGGAGTCTTTGCTTTTAGCGCCCTTAAACCCTTCTAGCAAGGCCTTCTTGATGATTTCCCCCAAATCTTGGTCTTGTGGAGTTCTTACCTGAGAAGCCGGCCCTTCTTCTCTGCGATCATCCTTAGTCTTTGTTGCTTCCTGATTAAAGGAGCTTTTGTACAAAGGATCATCACTGAAGTTGTATTGTGTTGATTTCTTCATGTACTCCATCCACGGATCCGGTTGTTTGAATTGTTGCCTGTCTGTAGAGGCCGTTGCCTGTTCCGCTGCGGGCGCCCCTGTCCCTGAGAACATTGATGGGAATCCTGTGTTGCGCACGGACGCTGTTGCATCCATAGCTGTCTTTATAGGAGATCCACCTTTATCAAGGGGCTTACCGTCTAAGGTTGCTGGAACAGTGCCTTCCGTGCGTAGAGGTTCAAAAGATTGCGGTTGACCAATTGGGTGAGCATCTTGTCGAGCAGGAGGTGTGAATGGCTCAGGGTATTGCGGCCCTGGCTTAACGGGGCTAGAGGATTGCGCTTTGCGCTCCGCTTCCTTGCGTTCCTCTTCCCTGTCTGTCAAGGACTGTACGACACGCCTGAGCTCATCCATTTCACCCTTCAACATTGCATTGTCCTTGCGAAGCTCAACTATAGTTTGCTCTTGTGTTTCCCGATCAACTCTATGTTGCTTATTTGTAGCCTCCATTTCATTAACAAGGGTTTTGATCTTTGCCTGTGCAATTGCCAACGAACTGTCCAGTTGTTCTCGCTTGAAGTCAAGTTCTATAGCGATCCGGGATTCTTCAGCAGACGAATGTCTTGCCTGATCCTTTGCCTCTACGGCTGCCTTCAGCTTGGACTCCTGTTGCTCAACATACTGGCGATGTTCAGTTCTCATTCTGTCAACAAAAGCATTGCCTTCTTCTGCCAAGGCATTCTTTTCCTGTACAACCTTTTCATGAGCTGCTGTTGCCTGAACTAGCCGCTGTTGAAAATGTTCCCTTTGCTCCTCCAATGTACCTTGCAACCGTTTGATTGCAACATTGTCGTGCTGTTGAACCATTTGCTGAACACTTTGTTCTTGCTGTTGGGCCCTTTGTTGAACATTCAACATTGCCTGCTCTGCGGCAGCCTTTGTTGCCGCTATAGATTCGGAAGCTTCTCTTTCGTAAATACTCCTGAAGCGCAATGCCTCGATTTCAGCTTCCCTCCTGGCTTGTTCGCTGAGCAAAAACTCATGTTGTTGTAACTCCCGTCGTAGTTCTTCGTCGTTTGGCGTTGCATTCAGGTTGACGACGTTGAGCCGAGTCATTGCCAACAAGTTGTTTACTGTTGGCGCACCAGCTACGGTGGCTGACGGCATACCTGCTAGGGTAGCTTGTGTCGCCTCTTGAAGAGTAACACTACCACCACTATTTAGCATCTCTTGGTACACCTCCGAAGCAACCCTTGGATGCATTGCAGCCACTTGTGCAACTGCCTGTTCATGCCGTTGAACTGCATCCAAACTATTGGGCACACTCGGAACTATGTCAAAGCCACTTCCATAGGCATTCGGTGGGACGTCGTCATCCATTGGGTCCATAGCTCTAATCTAGCTAGCCTACGGCTGATAACCTGTATTTTACAGGATCAGCTCTAATAGTACTAACTACCTAGCTAACCCTGCTAGCCCGGTAAGCGCTACCTTTTGCTCTACCTTGAGCCAACGCTACGGGGTCCATGGGGATGAGGTGAATTTCAACACCATCGTCACATGGGTCCAGGGTCAACCCTGCCAAGTGATCTAAAACATGATTGACTGGGAGCATCGGGCCCTTACCATGACGCGAAGCGAGGTCATCTCCATCCTAATCTCAACAAGTTGGCCCATTTGCAGGAAATACTTTGAAGCCCCGCTAGTAGGCTGGTGGCCATCGCTAGTAAAACAGGCCATCGCCAATAAGTTAAAGACCATTGCTAGAAGGTTGGAGGCCATAATTAGGTTGGAGGCCGTTCTCGGGGCTTTTGACAGACCTGAAAGCCACCAGTTGCAGCCGGCCCTCGCCCCCTCGTCCCCCTCGTCCTTGGGTGGCCTGGATGGGAGCTCCAAGTCACAGTTCGAGGGTTTGCTCCACATTGACTTCCCGTGGACCTGTGACAGGTGAGGATGATCGATCATGAATGGCGTGGACTACTTAAAGCCTTGCAGCCAAAGATTATAAATCCTGATGCCTGTTGCTGTTTGACATTTGCATCAAAAATCACATCCCGCTTGCAGAACCCAGTCTCACTGGGCCTCTGGTCACCCCAAATGGCAGCATTGCCTTTCATCCACTGATTCTCTGGCACAAGTCCGACATTGAAATCAAGAAAAGGTCTAGCCTCTAAAGCAACCAGCCAGGTTCGTGCAGTTATGCTGGCCTTGTCCATGTAGTAGTATCTCTTCATCTCTCTGCTCCATGCAATTTCCCATTGGGCGGCCATCCTCGTGCGGCGCCTTGTGGCGCCGTGCGGCCTCGCGCGCGGTAGGAAGGGAGATGGAGACAGTCGATGTTGGAGCTCTGTGCTTTCACAAACATTCGCAAAACCCCTAACCTGGAAAACAAGAACTGAAAGATCCAAAGCAGCAAGATAGCAAAGCAGCACCCCTTGATGAAGGCCTTTCAACATCCTGGAACTGAATAATCTCAGGGCTGAGTTTCTGAATCAACTTCTATATCTATTTTCTTGAATGAGGATTCCCACTTTGCTCTGTGGATTCATCCAGAGAACGGGCAGCGACTCATGGAAACTCGACCTTCCAGAAGCCGCCTCCCTCGGAAATGAACAGGGCCGACCAATCTTGAGCCAGGCAAGCTATTGCCAAAAGACAGAATTGATAGAGTGCCTCGCATGTTGTTGTTGGTGCTGTTGTTGCATTCTGCTCAGCTGGGACTGTGGAGCTTTGGTAGGCTTGTTCGGACTTACACATTATATATATATATATATGTCATCATCCTCACTGACGGCAATTAGAAGGCTCGCTGGATCCAAACAACCATTCTCTTTGGGGGGGGGCAATCATTCAAGCATTTGGAGACCATCACGACCTCAACCAAGTGGCACGTGACGTCCTTCAAGATGTTTTCAGCTGAGAGTCCGTGCGAAACTCCCAGGAACAGTGGGGCGGAGCCATTCTTCCAGGAGAGAAGGAGGCAATTCCTTCGCAAGGATTCCCTCCCCTACTCTACCCCGACTCCTTTGATTTTGCCCATCAACTCCACCGGGAGCCCAGACACCACAGGGCATCGGCCTGGCGCTGGCGATTACGCCTTGTTTTGGACCTTGGAGGAAGAACACCACAATACAGTCTTCCCTACTACGCGGTGCCATGTTAGGGCAGCCAGGCAGCCATGCTACAGTCTACAGTGTAGAGTCTACAGCATGTAAAAACTGTTAACCGTTAACATTTGCTCAAGGTGAGGCAGTCAATATGACCGCAACTGCCTTTCCATTGAAGGCGTAGGTCATGCTAGTAGGGTTGATTGGACACTTTGTTGTAAGTAAAGAACATCATCATTGAGTTGGGTTTATTGGTCCAGTCTGGTCCTGTGCCGCCCTGCTGTCCTCGCCTTCACCTCGCCAAGGAAAGTACAGGCGATTGCCGAAAACAGCCTCCAGCGGCAGCGAAGTCACAGCATGTTCCCCAGTGGTTGCTTTTTGTGCAGGACTTGCGCGCTGCATGCAACGCTGCAACACCTGCCCACGGGTGACCAGAACTAAGCCATGGAATACTTGTGGAATACTGTTCCTGTTCAGGTCCACAGTCACTAGATTGCCCCCACGCTCGTGTGAGCAAATGAGGCTCAGTTGAGTGACGATAGAAACCCATAGGCAGGTCATAGACACATGAACCATATCTTGTATCGGCACCAGCACAGGTGCAATTCTAGGTGAGCATGCTTGTAGCGGAACTTCCGAAAATAATCCTCATGCTGCCAAACCAAACGAGCTGCAGCAAATCACCGCGACATCAACAACCCGAACTGATTCGCCACTCACCTTGCCCATGTGTGTGGAGAGCTGTTGATGCCAGATCATGGCCCAACCGCACCAAGCGGCGCTCTCAGTTTCATGGAAGAAGGCCAGCTCGCGGGCCACAGGGGCTTCCAAACCTCGGCCGGCTCCGAGATCTCCCGAGTCTCAAATGGACCCAGTGCAGTATGGAAGCGACTTCATTGCTTTCCGGCTGCTTCCCACTTCCAGGTTCTTTCGTATATATCTATATTTACAATATCTATCTATTTATTTATCTATCTATCTATCTATCTACCTACCTCTCCTGTATACAGATACATCATACATCTGTACATACATCTATGCACCCCGAATGATCAAAGTGTGTCTCAACTCAGATCCATCTAGCTGTTCTACTTGACCATTTTTGCCGATGATTTTCAGAAGTTCTGGGTCACGATGAATAGCCAATCAAGCAGCACTATCACTATCAGATTCGAGTTTGCCGGGCCGACATGATCCTCTCCCCTTCCCTTCACAGTCACGAGCGCCTTTGTTGGTCACGGCCATGACCAGCTGAGCTTCCTCCATCCAACTCTGCAGAGTTTCGATGGTGGCCTGTGGGTGAATGTCCGGCTGACGGGCGCAAAAGTGGTGCATTCTTATCATTATCTCAAAAAAGCTGCCCTAAACTTTGTTTCTGAAAGTGCTAGGTGCACGTGATCAAAGTAGATGCATCAGGCTACTTCACCTAGCTCCACCCCTCAGCAACGCTCCGCTAGGTGCCATGTCGCAAGGCCACCTCAACCGACTTCGCATGCTCCACTGGCTGGCCACGCGAGGCACTCAAACCTTTGTGTTTCGACCTGCGGCCGTGCTGTTCAGTTGCGATCCGTTTTCCGCCCCGTTCTCGGACGGATGCCTCAGCCATGCTCATAAGGCACAGTCGAATCGAAAACCACCATGAAAAACTTGTTCATTGTGCTGTGCTCTATCATGGTGGAAGTTTTCCGCTAATTCCTCCTGCTCAGTGCCCCCTGCTGCATAGGACTCCCTCAAAGGCAACGAATGGACATCAATTTGGACCAAAACCTGAAGAATCAAAAAACATGACCAGCAGCCAGCAGCCTAGGATTTGGCCACCAAGCACCAACTCCGATTGGCCCACCGCCGACCTCGAGCTCATGCTCTGGCACCACCCGATGGCCAGAACCTTGCAAGAAAAGGGTCAGGAGCTGGTCCAAACTGCATGGTCTTGAGTGCAACTGGTGCCTGCCTCACAGGTTGCAGTATCGGCATGATCTGGGTAGAGGTGCCATTTGGGGCTAGTTTCAACAACCCACACCTACGGCCACACGAGGACATGACCGAAAGCCCAGCAACGACACTGGTGCGCGAACATCCCCTGCGGCAAGAGAGGTTCGAGTGGCGATTATTGGTCAACACCAGGCACACACAAATGAACATCAATATACATCAATATTCACAATATACATCAATATGCTGCATTCTATGAAGGAAGGGTGCCACGGATTCATTTTCTTTGAATGTGATGCGTGGCAATCCAAGTGCGGATGCAAAAGTAAGTGGTGGGCTCTTGTCCTGTGTCTTCAGGCGCCAATGAGGTCTCATGGTCCATCTCCATGGATTGAAAAGGTACGAATTCGGAGGCGTGGCCTCATTGACTGTGCCATCCCACCGAGCTCTGTCCCCAAGAACCATGGTGTCCAGAACCCTTCAGGCATGCTTGATTATTCAGGCACCGGTTTCAAAGCAAGTTGGATGCAACATCGAATCTAAGCTCCAAATGTCTCGATATTAAGAGGGCACCCTTCAAATCACAAGTGAAATCAGTGGACACAACAAACTAGGACTGGCTCCCCATACCACGGTCAAGTGCCCTTGCGTACCTGGCTAAAGCACTGGCACAGGAAAGGTGCTGAGTCTGCTGATCAGCGGTCCAGCAAGGCCTAACCTGGGCTTGGCGGTGCGAAATGCCCGCATCCTCAGGACACATAGACCCAAACTGCAACTGGCCAAAATCATGCTGCGTCAAAGGGTAGAGGATAGTAGAACCCAAGTTCCTGCCACAACAGCTGGGCATGCGGCATTAAGTAAAGTGCTCGTGAGAAAGTTAGAGAAAAGCCAAAAATCCCGGTTTGCCTTTTCGTCCTTCAAAGGCTTAGGCTGTGATCGGTGAGAGAGCGGCTGGCAAAGCGGCCACCCCACACCGCGGGAGAGTCGAGCTCCCATGGCTGTGCATCTACGTCGACCCGTTGAAGGTGCCCGGAGCGGTCAACAAACTGGATGCCAGGAACAAGTGCATAGTTACTAGTAGCTAGAAGCTACTAGTAACTAGTATTATAGAACTGGCGAAGGGGTGGGAGCCAGAAGAAGCCCTTCTCAAGCTCTGTACACAATTACCGGCCGCAGTAACATCCTCATATTGGGTCTTGAACTTCACCATTAGTCACTACCCCCATCATGTCAAAGACGGGAACCTTGAATGATGAGCTTCGGCACCCTGGCGGAGATCCAAGCCATTCATTGAGGTGCAGAACCGAGAGATCTGCCATGTCACCCAAAACATCTCCAGTTGGCAGCCCGTATCAGCCCGTGACTTTGCTTGACCATGCTGTTGTGTCTTTCCTTTGTGAGCCAACTCCAGGCAGCGAAGGTCCTGTTCCCCACACCTTCCCCTGTTTCTCGATTGCCCTGGCCTTGGATCTTTTTCATGGATTCCCCCCAAACGTCGCTCTCAAAGCCAATGAAAAATGCTCGAGTGCTGGCCCAAAGAATTGAAAGCTCCCAACTTCATCATGTCGACACTTGCTTCGCCACATGCATGCCACATCCTGCTCTCCGAACCGGCCACTGTGGGTGCTCTGAAGCGCCTTTTTTCGCGGGAGGCTTTCGGACTCACTGCGAGTTTTTTTGCCTTTTCAATCCTTTTCATGCGCACGGCTGCCTCAATCAACTTTCTTGTTGCTTGGGGCCTGGCACGCGGAGCCACTCCCACACTCCACACTTTGGCACTGTTTCCGCCAAGGTTTTAGGAACTTGCATGCCACCCACACCCTTCAACCACGCGGCTGTGATGCAAACACTTCCCATAGCTCACTTGGTCTTAAGTGTCTTCTCTCGGCCTTTTGTCTGGAGGACGAGCCGTACTATTTTGCCATCGAACTCCAACGAGCCTCTTTGGACAACTCCAAAAGCTTCTCCACTGGTTTCACGCTGGCGAGGCGAACCTGGCAAACGCCAATGAAGTGGAGGCTTCTGTTCTCAGCATCAAGCTCCAAAGATTGAGCTTATTGATGGTTTGTCATGCAACAACTTGAATGCAAGACCCATGAATGAATGTGCATTGTGCCCTTAAGCCCGGAATCCGCCTACATGCCGGGAACCGATGAGAGAGGCATGGAAACTGGCGTTGTGTGACAACCCAAACCCTTGATTCAAAAGAACACCTAGAAAGGCCGCCCACACAGCCGGTACATGACAAAATATCAACCCGAGCCGAGGCACATAGTTCACCGAAGCCATGACGTTCATCACTGCCAAGGAAAGCAACACAAGGTCCCAGCCTGCAACGCAGCTCTTTGGATGTTCTGCATGCTGCATGGTGCTGATCTGGAACTCGAGACAATTCGCTGAAATTCATCCGTAGCAGAAAGGCCGCCATGCTCCCACTGAGGACCCCGCTGTGGAAATGCTGTAGCAGGAGGGCGACCAGTTGTGGCCCCGCCTCGGAAGAGGTGGTGTGGCACAGTTGATGGCCCTTGCAATATGCCTTGTGCAAAAGGGCTCCACTTCACCTATTATGCTTGAACCGGTGAACCGGAACCCCAATACAACACAACCAAACAAGCAGAACAATTTTAACTTCGTCGTGACGGCCGGACGGGCAGCGGCTGCGGCCTTTTGTCACGACTTGAGCCAAATAGTTACGAATGAACTATGTCACCAAAAATGAAAGGGGTCACTGTGCATGTCAACTTCCAAGTCCCCCCTCATAGTGGAACGAGTTCACGGTACATTCAGTATTCCAGGTCACGAGACAGTTTGTTCATTGGCAAACCAACTGTGACCCAACAATTTAAATTCGGCGCGAGCGAACATGGGTAGAGGCGCTAATGCAGCCGAACTACCTGGGCTTGGTTCCTGCAGGCTAGGCACTACAGGCTTTGCAACTAGCATCTTTTGCAGGGGGGGTCCCAGCGCTAGCAGACGCCCGACGATCGAGGTCCTAGACCTAGCCTAGGACCCCCGCTCTCCTAGGCCATAGGCTAGCACCAGGACCCCCCCTATCCTAGGCGTATTGTAGCCCAGCCTTGACTCCCCGCCTAGGGGGTAGAAGGCTTCTGTGTGTGGCCCTTGATCAAGTTCTCTTCACTGGTTTTGTACTGGAACTTTGAACAATCCTTGATTCTTGATGTAACATGGCAACTGATTTGGCAACCAAGGAAAACCCATCCCCGAGCTGACGCCAAGACCCAATGGACAAGACTCCAAGACAAAATGATTGGCTTTTTTGAAAACTCCCTCTTTGTCTTTCAAGCCAATGGCATCACTCGAGTCGCGATTGCCTCCAACTCGCGACCACGGGCGAAGAGCGACTCCAGGCGGCGGGTGGTAATACTTGAGGATGTCGTAGGGCCGTTCACCGGCAGGCGTATCAACGATGCTCGAAGTTTCCCTCGGAGCTGCCTTTGACTTTGGCGTCAAACCTGAGGAGCTAGACGAAGCAGTGCCTGACGGGTTCCAATAACCTCCAGACGGACTCCAAAGCCTGGAACGGGGCACAAGATGCTCTGCCTGCAACCAGGTAACGAGGTCAAGCCAATCGCCTCTGTATGCGCAACAACCTCAATGCCCTCGTCCTCAGTGTCCTCACCTTCGGACGCACTCGGCTCCCAAAAACGAGAAGTACCGAGTGGCCTCTGCTGTCCACCAGTGTGGATGACCGGAACGGTCGGCGGGTCGCTTCCCTCCGCGACCCTGCTGAGGAGGCGGCGAGTGCGATGGCGATCGAGGCCGACGAGGCGGTGACCGCGAAGGAGACCGAGGTCTGTGTGACATGCACGGGTTTTCTGTCCCGCAACCACTCTAAGTGAAGAAGGTTGTTGTGTTGCCCCAAAAACAAATCAATGAATGACAAGCCGATACGGCTGATAACCACTTGAGCCGATGAACCGGAACCCCAACACAACACAACCAAACAAGAAGAACAAAGTTAACTTCGTCGTGACGGCCGAACGGGCAACGGCTGCGGCCTTTTGTCACGACTTGAGCCAAATAGTAACGAATGAACTATGTCACCAAAAATGAAAGGGGTCACTGTACATGTCAACTTCCAAGTATTATATAGGACACCCAACACACACACACACCAAAAAAAGAAACATAATGCAGCATGCAGGAGCTGCCCTAGTCCAAGGAAAGCAAAAACATGCTACGCAGACCAGACTTGTTGGGCCCTGAGAGAAAGGCCCTGCAAACCCCTGCCCACTCTTGAGGAAGTCCTCTGCACACCTGAACCCTCGTCACTCAATTTGCATGAAGTTGCTCTGTGGACATCTTCTATTTCCACTCATGGATGGGGCACCTTATGAGGGGAAGCGACTCAGATTCCATGCTGGGCGTGGTGAAAATCAAGCCGGATGTGTTGTTGATTTCATCCAGGCAGCCAGTGAACACGGTTGGATTCAATCTGAAACAACCACCGTGGAGCAACTACTACAGGTCTGCTCGCTCAAGGCCAGTCGCTCCTAGGACTTAAGTGTTGAAATCCAAGAAGTCGACATTCTACGGTGAGGGTATGGTCTGGAATTTGGTTTGCCCAGCAAAGACCCAAACTGGACACGTTCACTCCCCGGTCCAAGACCCCCGCCCAGGATGCCAGTGTCCCCAGTGTGTTTCCATAGCCACTGACCACCTGGGCAACTGGGTCAGAAGGCTAGCCATTCTCCACATATCATGAGTTGTCAAATAAAGAACAAATGTAGATAGGTTGCAGATAGACACTACTATCCCATATGGATGCCGGGGCCTGTACGATTCTCAATCTACCCACGGCCCCTATGCCCTATGCACCACCTCATGCAGGCTGTCACAGCCCAAAAGACCAGCTTCTGAGCAGCTTGAACCCTGAACACGTGATTTAATTGTCCTTGTGGCAAGCCATGAACTTCTGAACTCCCATAAGTGAGAGGATGGTTGAAATCCAATTGAAGCGTTCACTCTGGGAATCCCGTCTCCAACGTATCTCTCAGTGATCTCCAAGTAATTGGCCTGGCCGTGGTGCGTCGCTGGACCTACAGGCAATGTATCCACAAAACATCATGGCTTTAACTGTGAACTTTCCCCAACCGTACTCTGCCACTGGCTCAAGCCAATCAAGGTCGAAAATGTCTAAGGCACATCTCACTTGCAATGAACTCTCTGCCAAACTAGGGTTCCACAGTTCCACGGTGGCTTTCTGGATCACTTGTCCAACGAAAGGCCACATTTCTCCACACGAGCGCGATCTTGAAGCACTGCCTCTCCAAAAAAAATGGTGGTGTACCCGATCGCCCTAGCTAGACTGCAACTATGGCTCCAAACGCTAGGAATCCAAAAAAAAAACTGCGCTGGCCTTGAAGCCATTGGGTGTCAGCCCAAAGGATGCGTTTGCTAAGCTGAAGAGCGCCGTGGAAACCCACCTGCTAGGACCGACTGAAACAAACAGAGCATGGGGCAAGGAAGTTAATTCCAAAATAGAACAGAAATCGGAAACACAACCTGAAGAGCTTCATGAGAGGGTTCATCTAACACATCAGCCCAATGAGAATGGTTTGCCGTGCAAATTCTTGTGTCACCGCCTGGTCCACAAATTCTAGCACCACTTCACTACACCACTCACTTACAGATTCCAAGTGAATCCCGGCCAGGCAGGTCCACTCTTTCGTTTAGGGCGGCACGGGCTGTAGTCTCGCAACACGTGGACCTTACACCGGTATGGTGGTCACCAGGAAAATCAGCCATTGGCGGTCAGGCGACAACACTCCGACAGGGTTGACAAGGGGACATGGAGATGGGCTTTCCGATGGCAGGAACATTTCATTTGCAAACTCCTTGCGAAGCGTAGGGTTTCGGACAGGCACGCCCAGAGCCAGTCTTGGTCTTGGTTTATATCCGGTCACCCCTTTAGCCCAATTTAGTCACACAACTCTTCGATGACAACACCGTGGCGATGACAATGGGATGAAAACGATGACGATGTTGTGAAACATGAATGAAAATGAGGCATGCGCGCAGGGAACCACAAAAACACCGTGTGCAGCAGCATGTTTGCTACGTGAACATATGTAAACACAGGAGGCCACTGGGGAGAACGCGTTGCGCGCCTTTTATACAAGAACGGATGGCCGCGACCAATGGAGAATTACGAGGATGCCTGTGGTCGCACAAATCATATTACAATAGGTCATTGTAGATCGGTTCAATCGACTTTGGCCCTCTAAAACAGCGGAGCCCCCAAACCGTCCAATCTCAACCACCGGCCCTAGGCTTGGCCAAAGCGGCAGGTGCCAACGCTGCCGCTGCTAAGAGGAAGCCCGAGGCAGTGAAGAGGCGGCGGGTGGTGAGCAGATCCCAACCCAATCTGCAGAGGACTCGACCGGAAGGGATATCTGTTGCTAGGCGTGGTGTTGGCCGGTCGAAGAGGTAGGCGTTTCAGGATGACCCTGCCTATCCCTGCCTTCAAAGAGAGGTATGGCTTCAAACTGTTAAAACTAAGGAGTTTTCACAACATCACAATAGCAGGGTGCAGGTTAAAAGTGGTGAAGCCACCTTGCAAAAGAGAGTCAGGAACAATGCCCAACAAAATTTTGTTGCGCTCGCTTTTGTTGAAAGGTATCTGGCTTCCGCCAGTGAGGTGCTTTCTCGGCCTGGACAGTCTGTGAAGCTATAAATACCTTTGAAGTTCCCTCTTGCTTTCTGCCTGTTTCTGCAACCTCTGATCGCCGTATCGATGCAACGCACCAGGCACCAGTTTCACTGGATCCCTCAAACATCCTCAGACAACACAAAGTTTACCGCCTCCCCTCTCCCAAGGCGCGGCAGACCTGCCCACCGCTTTCACCAGCAAGGGGCTCCTTGTTGGCCGAGTCTTCACAGCGCTGGACTTCCAAGGGGTCATGCCAACCAAGATTGGAATGGTTTGGACAGCTTTGAACCCCCAACGTCCACAGCATTCAGTTTGGCTTCGGCGTGGGTGCCCACTAACTACGAGTGAAGAGTTGGCAACACGTTGCAGAACATCTTGGTTGCGGCGAGGGTGACCCCCTGGTGCGTTGTGGAGTTGTGGGCACATTGTGGAACACGAGTCATGAGCTTACCCCGCAACACCATCAGGTGTAAAAAGTCCAAGATAGGACATGCCGTGGAAGCGGGAGCCTGTATGTGGGAAGCAAGCAGCAGGCTTCGGGGCCCACGGTCGACCTGACCGGAAATCCAAAGCCGAGGGACGTGCAGGTGGCGATTAAGCTCATGATGTAGGGAGCCATCAGGTGGTATTTGGCCTGCGCAGCAACTCGGTGCTATGCACAAAGGACATACATCAGGACTTGTCACAAACACGACGCTTCAGGCCAGGGCCTCATTAGGGCTTAGGCGCAAGACGTCATTGTAGTAGGTTGGACCTTCTCAGGTGCTGCAGAAGCCACAAAACGATGAAAGCTGCGCGAATTCAGATCCACGTCGCCCTGGTTTGCAAACTTCAAGGACCCGGAAGTTGATTGCAAGAAACAATCATCCAACCCGCCCTCCGTCCATCTCCGTCCCTCGGGGCAGGAATTTCATCACGCCAAATGGTCTTCCCAAATCACCTCAACCCTGGCTAATTGGGCATCTTCAGCTTGGGTCAGCGCTCCAGTTTGTGAGATAGTACCTCTCAAGCTTCCAAGAAAGGGTCATCTTGAGAGGCTTGCGATACACAAAGAGGCGCACACGCCATAGTTGAAAGCGATATGGGCCTGAAAGGCACAAAAAGCATAAAAGGCCAAGTGTCGAACACCCTTGCAACGGAGATGTTGATGCTCCAAATCTACACCTCTAGGATCCTCTAGATCTGTCTTCATGGGTCGCCTGTATTTCAGCTTGCCGGGCCTGCCGGACATCCATCTTAAAATCCTAGCAATAACTTGTACTTCCTGATCTTGTTAACGCTTGGCCGGTGGGTGACCTTGCACAGTACTTCTCTGATCTTCTCTGAAGGGTTGGGCTATCACGAGTCGCACTGACGCACCGCACAACCTTTGCTTGACACGCATGCGATGCGGAGGACAAACGTTTGACATTGATGGCTGACATCCTTAGGATATCTCAGCACTGGCAAAATGGTCCCCAGTGCAGCCGGGAACTGATACCCAATCATGCCTACTGTATCGAAGCTCCAATCAGCTGAGAAAAACAGACTCTACAAAATCAGCAGAGCCTGCGGGGGCACGACACCTTTACAAAGCCAGACCTGCCAGGGCCAGAAACCCGCTCAGGTACCAGCCTCGCTCTGCTGCACTCAAGCCGACCTCCCCGGATCCAGTGCAAGTGGCCAGCCGCCGTTCATCCCCAAGTGGGATTTGGGTCCCAGCCTTCTGCACCGCACCTGAAATGGCCGAGTCCAAAGCCTTCTGCAAGTTCTTCTCCACCAGCTTCTCGAGCTCCGTTCGAAGCCTCGTCTTCAGCAGCTCGTTGGCGAGGTCCTCAAGAAGCGAGCTAACCAGCTGCCAAAGGGTTTCAGCCAAACATCTGACCTGGGAGGTCTTTACAACCCTGACACGCTATTTAGGTGACGTGCCAAAATGTACCAAATTCCCACGAGTGAAAGCAAAAGGGAATCCTGTCCTTCAGCACCTCCTCACCAACCATGTTCGAGATCTCGAACTTGGGCATCTGCAGGTGGTGAATCTTGATCTTCACCTCCTCCGCTCCTCCAGTGAGTGCCTGGTCAGGTTGTGTGAATATCTTCTGAAAAACAGCCTGAGCCCAAGCCACAACTTTGGAGATGGAGATGGTGAGGTCAATTTCGATGTCCACCTTCCACTCCAGGCGCTCGCAAAGCAATCGGTTCGCCACAAAGTCGCCCTTCTGACCGTTCTTGATGAACTTGGCGGAGGCCTTCACCCTCAACGTGGCTGGGCAGGTTTCCAAGCCCACCTGGTGGCTTGGGCTGGCCACAAACAGAATGTTTGACAAATGGAAAATACCCACACACACACACTGTCACTATGCGGTCAGCATTCTGCTAGGTATTTAAGATGTAGCATGTTGTGGAAAAAACGCCACCTGGAACTTCAAGGCCGTGTTCTCATAGCTGCTCTCATCGACGTACTGCCCATCCAGACTGAAGTCTGAAAGCTGAACAGTGGAGAGTCCTCTGAGGCTGTCTAGCTTCACGTCCTTCAAAAAGTAGAAGCAAGCTCCTGTAGGATCGTCCACGCTAAGGTCGTCAACCAACTTGATATCTCTCAAGGGGTCGTTCTGCTGAAGAGTTGTCCTCAACAACTCATTCAAACCCTCGGCATTCAAAATGGGCATGACTTCGTACTCAAGAGGCTGCCCTGAAGCTGCAACCTGCTTAGCGAGCTTGAAGACTCGGCACAGGTTCACCTGATCAGCCGTCTTCATCATTCTCACGGCATTCGCAAAAACGATGAACTCAGACGCTACAAGGTTGATGCTATCCCATGCCTTCTGCTTGTCGTCCTCAGTCGGAGTGGTTAGTGTCATGGTCTGACTGTCCACCAGCAACAACTCCATCAATTCTTTCATCAACTGTGCTGCAATGCGATGCCAATTGGCATGAGTCTGCCGCCAGCAGGCTGGAATGTCTACAACCTGCTTTTTCAAATATGGGTCTAGATAGCCGGCTGGACCCACCAAAGTTTCCTGCCAATACATGCCTTCCACCAAGGATTCCAATACAGTCACCAACATTTCCGTACTCTTTGCAATGTCTTTGGGGAACCGCCACTCTACCGCGAAGAGGGCCTTTTGCCAATCAGAGCCCGAGGTGCAAAACTGTTGCCGGGCCGCTTCAGACTCGCCCTCTGCCATCAGAGATCCCACGAGCTGGTCACAAACCGAAGTGTAAAGAAGCGGAGCCGCAGATCCAAAGAGATGGTCATTCAAGATGAAACGGATGGCCGTCAAAACGAGACCGCACGAAGCCACTTTGTAATTCGGTGCAAGGACCTCCCACATGTCGGTAATGCGATGCCAGTGTTTTGGATCTCCCATGAGGATTTCTTGATAACCTTGCACGAGTGTTCGGCTGTCAGGATATCTGCAATCGCTGTAGACGGCACAAAGGCTCTCATGGGTGATGAGCCCCAGGACCGGTGCCAGATTTGGGTCTTGAGGGTCCACTGCCAAGGTTTTGACAGTGGCTTGGAAGAGCAGAAAGAAGAGCACATCCATGGCGTAATTGTCCATGGCCCTGGTGTTGAAAGGCATGTCCCTCGAAGGATCCTGGAACAATCTGGAACAGATTGCTTCATTCACATTGCATCGGGATAGGGGGGGCATTGAGTAGAATGGTATACTGTAGGTGAACGTGAAAAAAAAAGGTTCATGAAGAACACAACAACTCCGATCAGGAATCAGCAAACTTGCAGGACACAAGAACAAGAAATGAGAGGTTGAGCAGGGAGTCAAAACTAAACACACAAGGAAACAAGACGTGCTAAGCAAACCAGCTGGGATCGAGATCCCTCTCACCCGTCTCTTCATGATAATCGCCTGTCGAAGGATTCCCGTGCATCGCGAAGGAGCTGAAGGCCATCAGGGCACCCGCAGCGATGACCTCCGACTTCCAAGGCCAAGCACCCTGGAAGTCGGTGACCTGAGAAATTGATGGAGCACAGAAACTGTGCAAAGGTTTTTTGTTTTGTCTCTATACACTCGTTCGGATTTTGTAGGTGTGCATTAAAAAGGGGTGTGTGTGTGTGCAGCTCTATATATACATACGTATATATATATATAATTATGTATACATATTTCGGGCCAGGAAAGAGATGGAAAGAGCAAAATTGATCTATAGATGTTCGAGCAATGGAACGAAAAGAGAACAATTCCTAAGCACACTGCCATCGCCACGGATGCCGCCTGACAAGCGTAGAGGGAAACTTCGAAGTAGGCAGCATTGGACATGGCATTGCAGGGCTGCTGAATCCAGGATGATGGAGGCATGCTGCTCATAGGTGCTGAAGCCTGTGGGAAGGTGGACAAAATGGTCTTGTTATCTGGCAGCGGATCCCACTCGATCCAAAGCTGCTTCCACCACATGCTCTTGTCCACTTGTTGGCCGAATCTCTCAAACAAGAGCTGATTGGCCTCCCAAAGGTCACTGGCCCCGATCCATTCATCAGTCACGCTCCGCAAGCATGTGTCCAAACCGGCCAGGGTAGACCAAGTGCGGGCATCATAGGTGTCATAGGTGAAGTACTTGTAGTAAGGTTTGGAGGCGAAGTCCCGTTCCAAATCCGTGGGTTCCTGGTTGATCCCTGGGCAACTGTTCAGCTCCTCTACTCCTGGCAGCTCCTGAGCTACGGACTGCAAATCAAGCTTGGCAGCCTCTGAGATGCGCCATGCAGCCTCAAGTGGCGCCGCAACACTGGCCTCATGGAAGCATGCAAGCGCTAGAACTACCAACTTTCCAACCATAGTGCGGGGCTCGTGCACCAGCAGATTTGAGCCAACTTCCGACGGGATTGGCGGGCTTCTCTCCTTTAGACAACACCCAGACCAATAAAACGGCCATGAGTCCGTAAGGTCCAAGGCTTCTGTCTTGAATCATGCCAAATGATTGCTCGGGCGACAGCCCTCAAATGAACTAGGCGCCCTCCAAACAGACTCTGCTGTAATCTGAGGTCTGCGGCGAAGAAGATCGCCCAGAGACTCGGGTGGATCGCCACAGCCCAGGGCATGCCCAAGGGCCCAGATCCTGTTCACCGCGGATGGGTGACCGGCAAAGCTACCCAAACCAAGTTCTTGGAGGTGGGGCAGGCCTTCCATAGATCACAAGTCTTCATGGTGCTCAATTCTCAAGCCCCTCAACTTGGCTTCTAGGTGACAAGAGTCTTTGCTTAGATAAACATGGACACCTAGGAGGTACAGAATCTGACTCACCCAACCTTGCGTGCCTTCTACGCATGCTTTTCACAGTGTTTCCACCAAGGGTTTCACCAAGCACATCACACTGCATGGCGTAAGCCTTCATCTTTGGCACCTCAGTTAGTCAGGTGGCAACCATGGAAGTAGAAACTTTATGAACATCAACTTGCTTGGCTTACCTCCTGCCAGTAGGTTGTGAGTGCTGGTTGGGGGATGCACATGGCTGCACGATTTCGCACTGCTCTAACACGCTGTGGAATTGGTGGGGTGAATATGGGTGAATGTATTCCCGCTGCATGATGGGTGGAATACGCACGTGTTTTATGAGAAAGCTGTGTGTTCTGATCCTGATGGGAATCGGCATGGCATGTTCACGGACTTCCAATGCTTCAGCCCAAGCGGCTGGTCTTCAGTTTCGGTCTCGGCACGTTTGCCTCCAAAAGCCACACAAAGGAATCCGAAAATAAGAAGTCTCTCGGGAAATCTAGACGGGGCTACAAACCCACACCGTGTTAGGGCATGAGACTGTAGAACAGCATCGGCGGTAAGGCATTCGCAACAGCTTGCACGAGATCTGGGTGGGGAGTCCAGGGTGGAAGCCAGTGAAAGAAACTCGAGTAACATCATCCAACTCAACATTAGCTTGTCACTGTCGAGGGCCTGGAGGAACTTCAGCTCGCTCTTCGAGATGTAGAAACACCTCAGGAGATGCAGCAGTGTAGCAACATATGGCAACTCTGGCAATGCCTGCCGCGCTCTTGTGCCACGCCACATTGCTTCCCCTCTCCTGCAAAACTCCTAGTATTTTGATCTTACTTGCCCAGCTCTGCATAATACACACTCGAATACTGGCTTGGACCATCCAGGAGTGAAGGATGCTATCCGACCCCGTCAGTTCAATAAAGGCTATATAGGTTGTTACCCACTGACCGGGTAGGATACACTGTGCTAAGTCATCTGAAATTACCAAATTGATGCAAGCACGTTTCAGTGCAGCAGGCCCGAATGCAAATGCTTCCAATGGCAGTATTGCCAGTCTTTTTCTTCCTGCGGCTCCACGTCTGAGCCACCCATTTCCTCCACAGCCTCTACCTCCCCTCCAAGGAAGGAGGACCAAAGCTGGCCACCAACCCCAAGTCCGACACGCGGACACCAGGGCTGCTGATCATCCTGCGGGAAAAGAATTATAAAGTCAGAAATTCATGTGGTAGGCGAGTCCGGCCACCAGCCAAACAGTTGCTAAAGCAAGACCTAGCTGATGCTAGCTTTCGTGGAAAAAAGGGGGAAAGCTGAACACCACAAGGGGAAAAAGAAAAATATATATATATAGTATATAGGCGCTCTTGCCCTTGCCTGCGCCACCAGATCTGCTAGGCTTCTCTTGTCCTCTGGCAGCAATTCACTAGCGCCCACCTTCCGGAGCAGGAGGCGCCCTGACCAATCGAGACCTCCCTCAAAGGGAGACTGCAACTCTTCCACGAACATCCATGCCTGGCTCGCGCACTCAGATCAAAAGCATCACATTTCTTCACATTGAATGAATGAAATGTAGCAAGCTGAAAAAGGCTGAAGGAGGGTGAGAATGAAAGTGTGCACGCGTCGCAAGCCGAAACATCACGTGAACTGCAAACTCCGTCGCCTCACCGAGATCACAACAAACCCCCCGCGAACATCAGACTCCATCACTCTAGATGCATGCCAGAAGAGCAAATACCAAGTACCAAAACAGGCAAAACAGGCAGATTCCTACCAAGAACCAAAGGCACTGCATGCACAGCCCCCTCGACCTGTACTGTGCATGTCCTTACAGTGACCCAGCCAGCAACGCTGCACTGGATCGTCCCCACATACAGTTTGCTGTGTTGCTGTGCTCATGGGGCCGGTTTGCAGGCAACAAGCATTCAGAGACTGCTGCTCACTGGCTACCATCAAGTGTAACTTCCTTGAAACAGTTACGGTCAAGAAGAACAAAGCAACAGCATCTCCTGCCCATCAACCATCAACAAACCCATCAAAAAATACCGTAAATCTGATCAGATCACGGCGAGCGGCCAGGTCTGGGTCCACACGCACCATGTTCTCCAGCAACTGACGTGCGCGCACCCGCAGCTTCGGCGCCACCGAGGGGCCCAGAAACTTAATCCTTCCGATTCGGAACCGGCCGACAAGGTGTCTGGCGAGAGGTTACAGTGTTACGGGAAGTAATTCCACAACATCCCTGATACCGCACGGCACCTGGCCCAGGAAATGTGTTCGAACAGCGATCTTGAAGGGTTCCTTTACTTGGATATCACTCTCACGCGGTCTTTTCGCAGCTTCTCGGGGGCAATTGTGCCAAGGATGTAATCTACAGCTGCCCCTCTTCGGTACTTTCTCTGTTGGACATGCCAAGGCTCCCAATTGCCAGAAGCTCCTTTGAAATGGTCTGCACCAGTAAGGAGTCCCCTGAGAGAAAGGCCAACACATCCAGCACAGCCAACCTTTGCTGCTTTGCGAGCATTGCCACTGAATTGAATCTATGAGGACGATACAGGAAAGTCATGGGATGTACCTTTCTACAGAACCCGAAAATGCAATGAAGACATATGATGACATATGAAGATCATGGAGGTTCGAGAGGGCTCATGTAGCAATGCATAAGCATAATATTAGCTTGGAGGAAGCCCACTTTACTTTTGCCTTACATTGGAAGCTCAATCGTGGGAAACACTCTGTGCCGTTTCCCCAGCAGAAAAGAAGAAATTTAAGCATGGGTGATCAAGTCCTGATCAGGGAGGCTGAGCCACTGCATCTTCAGCTCTGGAGATGTATTGCCACTCTCCACTGGCGGCGTCGTGCAAAGCCGGAGCCACAGACTGCTCCAACAGTCGCTGACGAAGCGACGCTGGACAAAGTCGCCTGAGAGCCTGGCCACATGCTTTAGGAGGATGCAAGCATCGGCGCTCAAGGAACCTGCAGGGCCAAAAGGTGTAAAAAGTCAAGACCAATGTGCTTGCGGCGCGCTCAATCCCAATCGGGTGACTCGCGAAAACAACAGCTGACAGCTTACAGAATGCTTCAGACCTTCATGTGAAAAGGACAAGGCCAGCTGCTGCCAAATGTCGTGCACATGCGGCAGCAGGTCCTTGACCTGGGCAGAACTTAACACAGGCTACCCATCAAATTTCCGGTTGTTCCCTGCTATTTAGCTGCTGTTCCCACCAAATGCTTCAAGGCATTTTTTGAGCCACAGCCACCCGAGTGGAGAGCACCGTGAGCCCATGGACAATGGCCACGTGAGCCAAGTGCCGCGACACAGAGTTGGAGGACTGCAAGTAATGCCGGGCCCAAAGGACCTCAGTGGTTGCTAGGGCGCTCTTGCACGAACTGCTTGCCGTGGTGGGTTCGTAAATAGGCAAGGAGCCGTGCACACAGCTCAATTCAATGCGGGTCCATTCCTCAAACATCCCACTACAGGTACAAAATTGTACAAAGCTGGGGCAGACAAGCAGACTACACCGCGGCCATCGCTTCTGAGGAGCAATGCTCGAAGCTATCCGCCTCTGGGCTCCATAGCCGTCAGGTTGGTCTTCCACTCTCACGTCGCCAGCCTGACCAACCTCCTCATCTTCCTCAGCTGCGTCCTGTCCAAAGCTGCTTCGACAGGCCACATGGTAGAGAACACCCCTGACATCACTCAGCCTGAGACTGAATGGAGTCGAAAATGGGTAAAGCCTGGTGCCATCAAAGAACCAACACCCTACAAGCTGGGACAACTGTAGCCCGTGTTGTCGCCGGCACTCCTCGTCCAACAGGTGCCCCAGGTCTCCCAACCGGAACCCATCGCGATGTGTCGGCGGCATCCACGTTTGCCAGCCGCCAGTTAGGAAGGCGGCCACTGCCGAGGCATTTGAGGCACGATCCTGCCCCCGCTTTGCGCTCACAGCATTCCAAGAAATGCGGGGAGGAGAGGAGGGTGTGGCTAGAATCAAGAGTTGAAAAGTAATTCAACTCTTGATTTGAGCCTTTCCAAGTTGGAAATGGTGTAAAAAAAGAACTTGACCACATCCACTTTTGGATTGCTGAATCCTGGATTCTTCCCCTGAGAGTTCAAATCGTCAGGGCCCACCTTCCCGCCCTTCCGCATGGTTCCCGCCCTCTGTCCTGCAGCCTTTTGTGTGGAGTCCCACCGTCCACCTGTGGCCCCTTGGCCCGCGCCAAACGTTCCTCACATAAAACCCAAGCCAAGCGTTGCGCGGTCGTGGCCAAAACCCGTAGGACCCAGTCACCTTTGGAACGGCCTGCCGCGGAGAGCAAACAAAGAGTCGGAAACTCTTTACCTCATTGACCAAGACCAAGTTGACTAGCAGAAAAAGGATGGAAAAGGGTCATGCATGCGAGTCATACTGTCATGGCCAGCCAACCTGTCATGAGCATGTGCACCACATCCGTGAGGAATGGCGTCATCTCCAGGCCTTCTCTGGGCAGTGTGAGTTAGCGCCCAGGCTGGTCAGGTGGATGTGGGAACCAGAACGATAACCGGCTGCGGGCCCATTGAAAAAGAACGGAATCTCGAAAATGTCACAACAATCTCATGCTTTGAGGGTTGGTCTTATGTGCTCTTGACTGCGAAGCCTCCTGCTCCTGGTTCCTACTCATCCCCGGCAATCTGTGGCATTGCCGCATTCTAGCCATCACAAAGCTTTGCACGAAGCTAGGCTCTAATTGGGCAACTATGCGTGCATTATATGTTGAACCTCTACTTGAACCCAACTCTGGTCCTCACCTCTCAACTTGTGTCTATGCCTGGCCACTAAGCCAGCGTTGCCGCTGCCAAGCAGCCAACGTTTTGCACCACCGCCGCCAGCAGCATCGACAGCCGGGCACCGCCATCACCGGCCTCGCCGAAGCGGAGTTGGAAGCAAACATCGCCCACGAGGTAATCGGCGTACCTCACAAACGATGACAATGAGCATTGAGATGGCTGGGCTCAAAACGTGCCACCCTACGAGAGGAGCCGAGATGAGACTTGCTGAATTTCCGGCATTCTAGACAACACCACCAAAAGCCCATTCACATCCCCCCATTGCTTTGCCGAGATGCTCTTCCAGGAGACTGGTGACCTGAGGCCAAGCACTGAGAGTTCATGAAGCTCAAGGTGCAGTGGAATGTGGGTCTTTGCCTATCGCGCTTTGCAACAGATTCTGGCCCTGGGACAACATTGAAGGGTACCTTTGTTCAGTGCCTAACAACACTTCATGCCCAACATTCTGAAGGCACCACCTGTCTCCAGTTTTTCCGTGAGCTTCATCTATATGAATCGATTGCCAAATCGGCGTGACTGGTGGAATGGCTGCATCTCGCCACATCATTCCAATCAGCACATGACAACATGTTGCTGACAGGCGCCGCCTCATCTGGAAGCCAAGTCTTCTGGCTCAATAACTGCCGGAGCTCTACAACATCCAAAGCTGGACGTCCGAACTCCCCGATCCACAAGACCTGGTCGAATTGGGATAAGGCTCCCGTGCCAATTCCCAAAGCGGAACTGGTCGAGCAATGAAGGCATCCTCCCTTTCACCGTTTTACATCACATCATCGGCGAGAAGCAAAAAAGGACACATTAAATTGACAGTTTCTGTCTTTCCACAACTTCCAGACCCCAATTTGATTCAATTTGATGCTTCGTGAATCGGACGCAGAGCATGCTATGTCCCCATC